TACTCCTGAGTTTAGTGTCACTTTAACAAAGGTTGTGGTTCTGATACTTCTAAGAATTTAATTCCTACATTTAGTGTCACTTCAAGATATAATGTGACAGGAAAATACATATTTACTTTTAGGTTTTGATCATAGATACCTTTTAACCCTCCCCTACACTATCCAAAAAAAGTTTTGGCTTTAGATATACTCTAAAGCTTAACTCCAGCTAACACTTCCTGAAGTTCCCTTTTTTTCTTTTTGATTAAATATGAATAAAATATGAAGCTATGAATAAAGTGGGTACCGCTATCAGTATTATATGGTTTGTCTCAACTCCTGTAAGTGCACTTTTGCTGGACAGCTTGGCCTGTATGGAAAAATCAATGGTTCTAGATGCAGGTAATAAAGCTGTTACAGTGGGGACTATAATGCTATTGGCATATTGCATTATATATGAAATTGTTTTATTTTGACCCCAGTTCCACGTTAAAATAACAGACGTTCTGTACCTACAGACTGCTCAGTTATAAAGCCTGCCATTGTTATTGCAGAATAGGCCTATTGGGTTGTTACCATTTGTATTTACTACACTGCCTGAAAGTTTTACAGCACAAAGAAGACAAAATTATTTGTACAGCACAACAATCTTTCTCTGTCTATGAGCAGCTTTCATTTCTCATTTGTTTTACTTACTGACTGATGCTTATATTCAGTCTGCACCTCCGAATAATTGGCTATATGTTTGCCGGGACATCAACAAATGTTATCTTCCTTTCACATTGATGAGACGTTTAATTACACAGCCCTACACTTGCAATATCTCTGCTTTCCCCAACACTGACATTTAATGATGTGGAGAGCTACAGCTTGTTTAATTCAGGTTCTTGCAGGCAGCTTGCTTGAAATATACAGAAATGGGCCTTTCATCTCTAAATAAAGTTGGAGAATGATAAAATGATCAGAGTAAGCTATGTTAGAGGGATGGCCTCATAGATTTTCAGCCAGTTTATGTTTTCAATTACGTGTGTAAATTTGTTTGTAAACGTGTTCATATACCTTCAGTGTGCTTTCCCCATTTCACAAGCTTGAGGTGCCGCAGTTTTGTCATCGAGTTTGGAAGTCTTCCTGCATGCAGTTGTTGATAAGACAGGACAGTAAGCACCCCTGAGTGTGTGTACCTTGCTTTCTCTCTGACACGCTGTCACAGGAGGCTGATCGAGCGGTGTAGAGAGAAAAGCCCAGCCTCCTGTGACAGCGCTGTCTCCGCCCCCACACCGCTCTGCCGGACTGTGATAGGCGGCTGAGCGGTGTGGGAGGAGAGACGCTGGCCGCTCACAGCGCTCTCGTCCTGCAGCGCTCGGCCTGCTGTCACTTTCTTTTCTCCCCGCTGGAACAGCTCCCAGCGGGGAGAAAAGAGACCAGGGATGCGCCGATGTATCGGCCGAAACATGGCTCTTTCGGCATTATGCCTAAAGTGCAATTTTCGGCCGATATGTTTCGGCTCCGATATATCGGTGCATCCCTAATTAGTAGTCTAAATTAAAGCTGACCTAAACCCAATACATAAATATATAATATATTGCATATATTACATTTAATATATTGCAGCTCAATAGATTTGTTGGCTTCATTCATTTCCCTTCCTTTACCAATACTGGCAGTAATATACTTCCTATGCTAGAGTGACAACGTTAACTTGATGTACTGTACCCATGAAGGAACAGAACTGACACTACAGGCTGCTCTCCTGTTATGAACTACAAACACCTCCTCTCTTTTAATCTCTACACTTTAACCTAACGGGGGTTCTGTATTTCTTGAAAGAGAACGGTGAAGGCTGATTACATTATTTCAGACTTGTTTAGTTTAGAAGGGAGTGGGGAAGATTAATAACATTGTTTGTGATTTAATTTAAGTGCACAGAAAATTACAAGGATTTAAGATTTCTGGAAGGTTCAGCATGTATTCTGCAATATGCATGAAAAAATTAAACGAATGCAGCCAGCACATCTAAACTATTAAGCTGCTATATATAAACATTTTTGTTTTTGGGTTTAGATATACTTTAAGTGCTCGGTGACATAACCCCTTTCAAGTAGATTCTAAAGAAAAGTCTGCAGACTTTCTCTGCGGTATGAGTAACAGTAAAGAACAATTACTGTCACTACAAAGAGAACACCAACAAGTGAAAATAAACTGATAACGTTCACCTTCGTTTTTATAGAATGCCCCTAGAGCAGATGATCGTTCTTTATATTCATGTCTTTTCTTAAACTCCACTGATGTAAGGTAAGTTAAAATTTTGCAATTGAAAACTGTTTCTATTGTAAACCAGAATAAAAGAAATGAGACAGACGCGATGGTAAATGGAAAAGGCATGAAGGTAATTGTAATTCTCTATAGTTATGCATGCGGAATAGACAACTGCGCTTCTTAAATCATAGCAAAATATATTACCGCCAGTGCAGTATCATTTGGTTCAACCTTGATTTAGTATTTAATTCCTGTAGATTGTGTACTACAAAGAGCCTGAGATATTTTTACATTTTGAAATGTAAAGTTAAGCCATTTAAAATAAACATTGTTTCATTATGTTTTTCCTTTTATGGAAAACATATATAAAGGAGTGTCAGAAAGCTTTAGAGAAAGGAGTATGTGGTTTTATCAGCATAGTTGTCCTTGCTATGTAGTGTAAAGTATGTAGTTTAAAGTTTATGCACTTTTAGAGGGGCTGATTACTTCTGCCATGTGTCAGATCACCTTTGCTTTTATTCCAACAGCTATAAAACTCAACTTCTAGTTACAGCAGATAGTACACCTCTCACTGTACTACTTCTGTCCCTCCTGCCTACACCAGCACTGCAGGTATGGTAGACACAAGTGCTTGTACAATGTCTCTACAATTGTCTGTTCACAAAACTCAACCTGTGATTATGCTGCAGTCACGTATTTTTTTTTTTTTTGCGCATGTAATTTTTATTGAATTTTTAAATAATACATAACAATAAAGTATGAGGGTACCAGTCACGTATTTTGTGAATAGTATATGCCAATAGTATTTGCCAAGCGTATATGTTGGTGGAGACACAATATAATTACTGGTGTCTACTATATTTGCTGTGCTAGCGTCTACTATACATGCCAAGCTGGTGTCTACTATACTTGATGTGCCGAGCTGGTCTCTACTATACTTGCCGAGGTGGGGTCTACTATACTTGCCATGCTTGGGTCTACTATACTTGCAGAGAGAGGGGGGTATTTTGCACCCCATCCCATGTCTGGTGCAACTTAAAGCCCTGTTTTTAAGCTTTACACATGCCAGAAATGCAAACAACAATAAAAACCTAGCAGCAGTTCTAGTCAGAAGCATGGACAAACTTTGTACATAATGGAGACACCCAAAAACAGTTGACTGGATCTTTCAAGGCCAACCCAAGCTTTATTTTTTTAAATAAAATAGGTCTTGCTGCAGTGCTTACCTCATCTCCTGTGCTGTCTCCTGAAGACTGCTTTTCGAGGTCCAGCAGTGATCATCTTTGGGGTAATATGAGACACAGCCCAGGGAGTACATTATTAAGCCATGCTGAACTTACAGGAGAATGCTGTGGAGAACAAGTCCACATTATTGCACAAGCTCTGTTGCCCCAGAAAATTCCAGACTGTCCACCGCTGGAAGAAATGGACCCATGATATCCCTGTCCCGTCAGTGCTTTCATGCCGATCTTTGAAAATAAGGCATGTATACCCAAATGAAAAAATGCTGGAGTGATGGTTGTCCTGGGTGTGGGGGTGGAAACCTTTGAAGAAAATATTGGGCTTTGAACACTTATTTTAAAAATGACTACAAATTTCTCGGCTGAAGAGCCGATAGCCGACTGCGAAGTCAGCCCAGTTCTCCAGGAAACCAAATCCTTCCATCTGACACCAGCTCCGGAGCCACTTGTTAAGCTCCCTCAACTCGCGCTGTCTGTCCGGAGTGGCTCTTGGCACCGGCAGTATCTCTGAGAAAACTACCGTGGAGGTCCTTTCCTTCCCTTACCTATACTTATAGGTAATTGCCAGCTTTTTCCTCCCCATTCTTCTTATGGTGGCCATTTTCACTAAGTGCAGATGAATCCATCTCCCTTTACTCCTTGGAACTCTGGGTCTGCCTCCTGGCACATATGACAGTGCGCACCATCTGAGAAAAAAAATGCCTTTTGCCCCTGAGATCTTGCATGATTTTGCAGTTACCGTTGAGATATCCCAGGAAGGCACTAGTGATATAGCCTTCCCAGGATGCATATGCAATGCTAAAACTACATCACCAGTACCTCACTCAACCAGGAAGTGCAAAAACTAGAGGTGCACTTTATTCATTTTTATTAAATATTTTCATTTTTTACTTTACTTTTAGGGGTTTTTATGGAAATATTGGGGGTCTAAAATAGAAAGAGATCAAGGACACAATCTCTTTTTTTGGAGCCCCTGTTATAAATTAACAGGAATCTTCTATACTGAGTGTTCGTGTTCATTCATAACTTGAGGACAGAGTATGTTTACTATATCCACAATTATGAATGAACAGGAGGTGATGTAGATCACTTCCTATTCATTCATAATTGAGGACACAGTAAACATACTCTGTCCTCAATTATTTACAAACACTCAGTGATCACTGATTGCTGAGTGCTTGCACTCACTATTTCCGGGCCGATATGTTTCGGCGGCCGATATATCAGTGCATCACTAGCAAAAACAATGAAAGTAAGTAAATGCAAAAATTGTAAGTTCGGCTAATAAATGTAAGATAATTTCATATCAGCATGCACAACTGAATGCTGATACGATTTTTAGTGAAAATTGGTATAGGTCCTCTTTAAGTAGAAATGCATTCAGGTAGCTCCAATTACATTATGATATATCAGTATCTGATTTCCTTAGAAATTACATTTAGTTTTCTAAAAAGTAGCGTGTATACTACATAAAAGTCAGTTTTGTTCTGAATGACCTACTGACCTGTGTATTTCTTTTCACAGCATACTGGTTTGTACCCAATTGTTGCCAAAAGTTTACGACGTATAGCAGAAGGAAAGGACCCAACAGACTGGCACATGCACACATGTGGGCTGGCGAACATGTTTGCCTACCATACGTTGGGTTATGAAGATCTGGATGAGCTGCAAAAAGAGCCACAACCTTTAATATTTGTCATTGAACTCTTAAAGGTAAATTCATTCATTTTATCTGCATCCTTTGGTATGAAGATTTGGTTTCCTACATTGCTAGAATGATTTGGACACCATCATGTACATTTAAGTATTTAAGGATTTGCTTTGTGCTTTGACGTGTGTTTCCAATGTGTTTTTACATTAGCATTTGGAGTGGACAGAGATAACATTGACCAAAGTGCACACATCAATAGCGCTTGTCAATGCAAAAAAGAAACACACGTTGAGATACATTAATGTCTTGAAAACCTTGTTTTCATGCATCAGTTATAATTTGTAATTATACAGTATATACAGTATATATATATACTGTATATGGGCAACATCTCTGTAGTGGCTGTGTCCCTGCTGGAAAGATTTACCCTCAGTATTGGTCCTTGTGATTATTGTGTTTGGTACAGAAAGTGGCAGAGAATTCAAAAATGTATTGTCACAGCAGCAGGAAGTGTGTGTGAGAGTGTGGGGGGGGGGGGGGGCAAAGA